TCCCGCCGGGTTTTGGGGTGGAGGAGCATTCGGTTCCCACCTGTCTGCAGCTTGTATCTTACCCCCTTTGTGTGATGTTGAGTTCTCACAGATGTAGATGTATCCTGGCTGTTGTACTGCATCCACTGGTGTCTCTTTTAGGAATAGTTGTATTTATTGTATTTTCATAAATATATATGTTTTGGGGAGGAGATTTCCTCTGAACTACTCATGCTGCCATCTTCCCGTGATCCTCCTATTATTAATTTTATTTTTTAAAACTTTGAACCTTCAGAACAAAATAGCAGCAGACTCACAGACACTAAGAAGGGACTAGTGGTTACCAAAAGGGAGGGGTTGGGGAGGGAGGGTGGGGAGGGAGAAGGCAATTATGGGGCACTGTAATTTGCAGTCACTATATAGGTAGGTCATGGGGATGGCAGTACAGCATGGAGAAGACAAGTAGTGACCCTATAGCCTCTTACTATGCTGATAGACAGTAATGCAGTGGGGCGAGGTGAGGACTTGATAATATGGGTGGATGTTGAAACCACTGTGTCATTTATGTGAAACCATCATGAGATTGTGTATCAGTGATACTTTAATATAAAAAAGTGGATGGGAAACAGGAGTGGGGGGATCTGTCTCATGTGATATAAGAAAGATAAACAAGGAAAAAAATTTTAGACTTTCAGAGAAGTTCGAGTAATATAGTAAAATCTGTATAACCTACCTAGAATCTGGTTTGCCACATTTTGACAGTGTACACCTAAATACTTTAGCATGTATCTCCTTTAAACAAGTTATTTCCCTATATAACCACACATAATAATCATATTTTGGAAACTCAACAATGATGCAATATTCTTACATTTCATATCCAGATATAATTATAATGGATTTTGTTTTTGATCCCCAAAAGGCTGTATATTTATTTCATTGTGTCTTTAGTCTCCATCTTGAAGAGATGTTTTTAGTCTTCATGACATTATCATTTATTCAGAGTGTAGGCCAGTGGTTGGTAAGCTGTAGCTTATGGGCTGGCCACTGTTTGTATAAGTAAAATTTTATTGGAATACAGCCATGCTCATTCATGTACATATTGTCTATGGATGCTGTTGCAGTACAGTTGCAGTGCTAAGTAGTTGCAGCAGAGACTGTAATTCCCACAAGACTGAAATGTTTACTATCTGACCTTTTAAAAAGTTTGCTGATCCCTAGTCCAGGCAGTTTGTTAGGCATGACTCTCAGTTGGAATTTCATAGTTTCCTTATATTTAGGTTAAATGTTCTTTTGGCAGTGGTACTACACTGATGATGTTATATTCTTCTCGGGATACCACATCAGAAGACACATAAGGTCAATCTGTCCCATTTCCTGTGATGTTAAGTCATGGGGACCGGGGGATTTGTAATAAAGGAAGGCTTCATGAAAGAAATGACATTTTAAACTAATCCTCAAGGATAGAATAGTATTTGAATAGGTGAAAAATTTTTCTGTTAGACGTTATCTATAACATCCTTCTCTACCTGCTTCTATTAATCCTAAATTAGAATTTTCATCCATTCATATGGCTGAAATGATTGATAGCTTAACTTACTGATCTTTTGGTAGTAAACAATACATTATAGGTTTTCTTCACATAGTCTGCACTTTTTATTTGTTTAATTTTACAATGGTAATTGCCTTTTATCTTACACTGTGTCCAGAGTTCTGTAATCAAGTTGTTTTGGATTTTGTGTAATGTACTGTAAATTTAGAGTTCTGCCTTCTCTAGGAGATAAAAATTTTACCTGTCTGAAAACCAGAACCCCAGTGCATTTCAGAAGAAAGTGTTGAGAATATACTTTTAAAAAGTATAATACATATAGATATTCTTTAAAAAATTAAAAGTTGTATTGATAATGTTAATGAAGCACCAGTTTATTTAGAAATCATTATATATTGTATTATATATCAATATATATATATACTGCTGTGGAAACATTAGTTGTGAAAATAAATGGATTGAAAAAAAATCGTATGTTATAGTACTATTGGCATGTTAGCAGATGGTGTAAAATTGTTTCCATATGGTTCCCTTGTATTGTTAATGCTAAAGGAGCAGCTCCCTACTCCATGTCAAAACCAAAGGTGAACATTTTTATAGAATTATCATAATCATAATTGAATGTCATTTATAATAGTGAAATTAGACGTGCTGTTGAGAAAAGGATAAATGTCAAAAGTATTCAAGGGCATCTTATTCCACAAATGAAAAGTTCCATCAGAGAAATGACCTTATAAAAATGTCAAGCAAAAATGTAAGAGTTAATGAGTATTTTATGGATAAAAAGGCTCTTTAGTTAGAATGACTTTTGATAGACATTATTTTCTAATTTCTAAAGAGAAAGGAACCTAGTTTAATATCATCGCTTTATTGGATTTTGATGGCATTTGGGTTGTATTTTGAAATTTGAGAAACTACTTCAATTCTAAATAAATGATCAAAACCAAGTTTCTGTTCTTGAAAGCAAACTACTTCTGGAACATAGTAATCACACTTTTGAAGGATAGTTTTGCTGGATATAGAATACTCAGTTGGCAGTATTTTCCCTTTCAGCTTTTTAATGTCATCCTACCACCTTTTGAACCCCATTCCCTGATGAAAAGTCAGCTGCTAGTAATTTGAGATTCCTTTGTATGTGATACACCATTTCCTGTTACTGCTTTCAAGATTCATCTTTGTGTTTTGACAGTGTGATAATGATGTGTCTAAGTATATATCTTTGAGTTTACCCATTTATAGTTGTTAAGCTTCTCAGGTGTTTAAGATTTTCATCAAATTTGATGAGTTTTCTGCCATTATTTCTCAAAAAGACTTTTCTGGCCCTTCATTCCTCACTTGTCTTTTTGGGAGTCTCCTTATGTATATGTTAGTACACTTGATGGTATCCCACAGGTTTCTGAGGCTCTGTTCATTTTACTTCATTCTCTTTGCCATCTGTTCTTTAGACTGGATAATTTCTATTTAAAATAGGAATTTCTTAAACTTGAATATTATCACAGTCCAAAACTTAAAATGTCAGGTTTATGTTCTTTCTAAAAATTTTTCCAACCAAATACTGAATGTGGAGTTCAGTATTTGTTTAAATAAAATTTATCTTTCTCATTATGCTAACTTTTTACACAACTATATGAAGTGTAAGACATCCAGACTCAGGATAATATTGAGGGCCAAGTCCTTGTTTAACAAAATGTAAAACAAAAAGACACAACTCTACTTTGTAATTATCAAACTCTGTAAGTAAGGATGGTTCAGGCAGAATGGTATATAGTTTATGAGGAAAGGTATCACAAACCAGTGAAGTTAATGTAGAGAAGAGGTGTGTTGGGGGGAATTGGGCAAATTCTATTATGAGGAAAAGATGTGCAGAGGGCCAGAAGCAAGAGAAAGCATGACATATTTAGAATGGGACAAGTTGCTTAGTATGATAAAATGACCTCAAGGTGAGTTGGAGAAGCCAGATCATTATTAGGCCTTGTGTGTCTTGCATAAGCAAAAGAAAACCATTAGAAAGACTTTTAAGTAGAGGACTTATCTGACAACATGTAACCAAAAATCGATAGTATTATGATAAATTGCTAAAAGAATGATACAGAACTAAGTTTCATAAAAATTTAGATTACACAAAACAGTGAATCGGTGATCTTTCTTAGGTGATCACTGTACTTAGGTGACTTTAGACTCCAAGAAGCTTAAATCTTGTTTTTTTTTT